GGGAGTCCAGATCCAGCCGCTGTTGAAACTGATCAGTGGCTGATTCCAGGAAGCCGGGGGCAGAGCAACTCTGCCTAGGGCTTCCTGTAGTCAGCAGCTGATCAGTTTCAGCAGCAGCTGAATCTGGAGCCAGTTCCAACTTACATACAAATTCAACTTAAGAACAAACCTATAGTCCCTATCTTGTATGTAACCCGGGGACTGCCTGTATTGGTCTGACCCAGCATGGCCATTGAGTTATGTTCATATTTAATTTTGGCCATTTTTTGTAAAGCTCTTTGAACTTTAAGATCATTGAACTCTTAGGTAAGCTAGGGTGATCTCTTGTCATATTTCTAATCTTTCCCACACAAGGAGATAGTTTTGTTCTTGGGCCCTTAATATTTTAAACTGTCTGAAAGATTTGATAGCTTTTCCCCTTAGACTTGCTACCTATGAGATCTTACCTACCAACTTCCTGAGTTTGCTTATGTCTGCTGTCTTGAATCTAGTCACTCTTCTTTTCCTCCTACCATTTCTTAATCATGAACTTATTTCATGATTACTTTCACCTAATCCACTTTCAAATTCATAAGCGATTCCTCTATTTTTTTTTTTCCAAAATCAAACCTAGGACAGCCTCTCCCCTTGTTGCTTTCTCCACCTTGTGAAATAACAAGCAGACTCAAATACATTCCAGGAACGAGCTGCATCTGTGCCCAACTGTATTGTTCTGACAGATGTTGGGGCAGCTGAAGTCTCCTCCCACACCTTCTCTCCTTTCTACCCCCCCAAATCCTGTGCTTTGGATGATTTTGTAAATAGTTTAAAAAAAAAACTTCATCCACTTCTTCTAGGTTAATTGATCTCTATTAGACCCATGGTATCACCACTGTCTTATATTCTTATCCAGGGATTTTGAACAAATCAGTCTCCTATTTCCAGTTTAACCTCCAGGCATGAGCATACCTCTGATGCACAAGTCAACACCACCTCCCTTTTCCTCGTGCCTGTTCTTCCTTTTGATGTAACTGGTAAGCTGAATCACAGAAGTTCTTTGGGAGCAGAGCATCTGGTAGTTCTGAGTGTGCAGAGGATAAGGGGCCAGGCACTACTCTAGGTGGTCAGTGGCAGACTACCATTGCAGGTGAGTAATACAAAATAGAGCATGAAATGAGAGTGTTGCCTGTGGATAGTGAAATCAGGGAGCAGATTACTGGAGGGTATAGACACAACTTCCTCCTGCTAAGGACAGGCGGCAGTGAGATACTCGCATGGAGGTAGTTAAGGGAAGTGTCATAGAACAATATCAGGGAAGAACTTTTGTACTTCTAAAACAATCCCCCACATTTAAAAAAAAACCGTTTCATTACTTACTTGTGTTGGATACTGAAGAACAACGTCGTATTGTTCCCTCCAGTTGTTATCCCTTTTTCCTCCAGTTTCTCAATTTCAATTGTGTGTACCCTAACAAAGATTGAATTATTGAACATGAAAGTAAATTGTTTTAAATATTTCAAAAGCTCCTTTCTAAGATTCTAAGTTTCATTTTCTTCTCCAGGATTTTTCCATGTCGTGCATAGCCATCAGACTACGTCAATTTATAGAGCCAACACCCTACCTCCCTCCAGGGTAAAGTATTTGGAGATAGAAAAGTCACATGCCAAAATATCACCATGGGACAAATATTCTGCTTAAGACTTCTTGTGATTTAGGAAAGGATGTTTGTCAAAATAGAAAGCCTGTCCAACATACACCTTTTGTTTTACAAGTAAAAGCACTGAGTCTGTTTGCAAGTTAAAATACTTTAGTCTGCAGATTTCTAGTTTCAGGTCATTCATTTCAGTGCAAGTTCTATATAAGACTTCAAGTAAATTCTGTTTTCCTTCAAGTATGTTAGGGTATGTCTACACTTGCACCCTATTTCAAAATAGGGATGCAAACGCAACAATTCGAAATTGCAAATGAAGCTAGGATTTAAATATCCCATGCTTCATTTGCATAATCCTGTTATGGCGCTATTTCGAGTTAGCGCTATTTTGAATTAAGACACTGTGTAGACACAGTTATTTCGAGAGAAAACCTCTCTCAAAATAAACCTCATTGTATGAGGAATAAGGGTTAACAGTTATTTTGAGAGAAGGGTTTTCTCTCTAAATAACCGCGTCTAAACAGCGTCTGTTAATTTGAAATAGCGCTAACGTGAAATAGCGCCATAACGGGATTATACAAATGAAGCATGGGCTGTTTAAATCCCGGCTTCATTTGCAATTTTGAATTGCTGCGTTTGCATCCCTACTTTGAAATAGGGTGCAAGTGTAGACATACCCTTTGTAAATACAGTTAGTATGTGCAATACATGATCAAAAGTGTCCTCTTTTAGAATTACTCAGTCTTAGATTCATCTGCCAAGCAGACTATTCTCACCTCCTTCTGTGTCCAGTCTGGAATTACACATAAAAGGAATCAGTGCTAACAGGATGGAACTGAAGAATCAAGTCATGGTTCCATGCAGATTGTAATTTTACCTTGGGGGAAACTTGCCAAACATTGTTGTGGGGTTTTTTAAATACAAAATGTATTTCTCTTCTCATCCCCCACCCAATTCTACTCCTTCCTCTTTCTATTCTTCCAGCCATTAAGGGTCACATTTTCAAAAGCACCTATTGGGTTGACCTTGCCCAGCTACATTCAGATATAAACTACATGTCTGGCTTCACTTTTTGGCAGTGAAGATATTTGCAGTACTGGTGTAGTCATGTTGGTCCTAGGATATTAGAGAGACAAGGTGGGTAACACCTTTTATTGGACCAACTTCTGTTGATTTTTTGAGCTCCAGAGGTGGTCTGTGGGTAAGAGAAAAGTACTCAATGTCTTGGCTAAATCCAAAGTAGAACAGATTAAGTGAAACATACCTTTCCAAGATCATGGGTCTTCCATTACATGTTGTGATAAACATATGTGGCTCCTTTAGGGCATCAAATATCCCAATTGCTCCAGTCTCAAATGAACACAAACACAAGGTTTACAAGGCTCTCAGCGCCCCCACTATACAAACAATCTGTTCAACCTTCTGGTTAGCTGAGACAATCCAAGCTTGAAGGCTTTCATCAAAAAGGAGATCATGCATACTTGTCAATCGTTAATCACTTAAGGCACCTTCGACAATTTTTCCATGTACCAAATGCAGCTCAAACCAAAACCTGTCTTAATTGGGCTTCCATTTTTCCACCTACTTCCGTTTACATCCTTCAGTTACTCTACCTACTAACTTTTGTGCTACATGTCCAATAAAGCAGTTTGCAAACTGATTCAGTTTATGCTTATTTCCTAATGAAATGTAATTCATGGGGAAGAATGTTAGGAATGTTTGCTGGTAACTTTAATTGTTGTAACTCTCAAGTCACAAAATTGTTTTGTATGTGTGCGTATTCTACTTACTAGCAATGTTATTCGTCAAGGAACAGTCATTCAAGGCTTCTATCCTGGGCAACTAGGACGGGTGCACAAGGCATGCATGCCCGAAACAGCTCCTGGGTAAGAGGATGGCTTTATACAAACTTTCTAAAAGAGCATTATTTTGACATTTTTATCCTTCAAATTCACTACGGGGAGAGATGGTCACTATCAGGGGTGCCCTGCAGATATTCCCCTTCAAATTTAACATGGGAATAAGAAGAATCAAGGAAGACAGGAAATGGTCTACTGGTCAAAGCACAAGACTGGGAGTCAGGAAATTGGGGTTCTATCCCCATTGTGGTCTATCTGTGTGTGATATTAATTCATCAGTGTTTGGGAATTCTGAACAAAAGCTACTAGAAGACACAGATGATTCTTTTTTCCAGCACCTTTTGAGCCTTAGCTTGTTAATGGAGATTGCTAACCAGGATACTGAAAGCAGCACTTTTTATTGATTTTAACAGAATTAACATTGTTTATACTAGTTAACTGCAGTTTTCAGACCTACTTTCTAATTTCAAAAGTGTGTTTGAAGCCAATTGAACTACTGAACTGAGTTTTACTGTATGTAGTCATGCTGTTAATACCTATGAGATTATAACAGCCTTACACTGAGGTTTTTCATTTCAACAGGAGATTAGAAAGATCATTTATTATGTTGGCCACCCTTATGGTTAGCCAGTGCTCTTTACATACCATGTGTCAGCATGAGATTACAAAACAATTTGTGCCTCTCATCTAGACCTTTCATAAAACTGCACCCGGCTCCAATGCAGCATGAAGTTGAAACTCAGTACCAACATGACTTTGACAATTTAACTCTTAAGAAGTATGTCCATTTTCAAAGGACAATGCAGAAGGCAACTAATGACTGGTACAAGCAAACCACGTACAAAGAAGAATTTGCACTGCCATTTTACAATATTGGTAAGTAAGATTTATATAGTTAGTAAAGCCTTTTCGTCTGCTAGGAAGATTCACCCTAGTCTACTTAAGTCTTTGTTTTACATATTCAACCGAATTAACTTTCCCACAGGGATGCTGTAAGGATTTGTTAAGTCTTAACTCTATTTTATGGTATGGAAGAACTGACAGACACTGTCTACACAAGGTGAAGAGCCCGAATGAACAATTAATGTGCTCAGTCCCAAATAGGTAGGCAGAAGGCAACCAGTTAATTGGAATCAGACAAATTACACTTAGACTTCAATCTGTATACAGGACAGCTGCTCAAATGCACTGAATTAAATATAACCCAGTTCGATTTTAGGTTTGTTATTAGACATAGCCACACTAAGCTAAAAAGGCATTTGATCTATGTGTAATGCAACCTATGAACAGGTTTCATTTTGGAATCTCACAGAAGCCAAGATGCATGTCAAATAAGGAGATTCCTGTTCTGAACTGAGCAAGTACAAAGCTATATGCAGAAATGTACTGGATACTTAAGTTATTTTCATGCCAGAAAGACTTACTGCTCTTTTTAAAAAGGAGCTATGAGATTGAAGATCCCTTCTTGTGGTACAAAGCATCTTCCAGGGGTGATGGCCTCTTAAGAGGGAAGGAAGATTTTTTTTTCCCCCCTTAGGGAAAAAAAAAATCTTAGCAGTACCTATGATAGACACAGGCCAACACCTTTGAATTTACCGTGCCTTTTGTGAAAGCATAGGCTGTTTAGCCTCAACAGTGGAGTGAAATGACCCAGTTTTAACTTAGATCATGGATTTTCAATTTAAATTCCATCTGCAAAAGACATGGGGATAAAATTGTTTCTTCTGTCCTACATGATTCCTATCAAAACAAAACCATAAGAGCAACCAGATATTACAGTGCAGTAAGAGGCAAGGAACAGTGTCAATATGGCCAAAACTAGGCAGGGGCCCAGTGTAAGTAGCAGCAGTAATAGCTCAGAGAATGAAGGCAGACAACAAGCTATTTACTTCAACTAGCATCCACATTGTGGTATACGAACTCTAAGGATGTTAAAATGCGGTTGATGGCATTTCCATCAACTAGTCGATAGGCACTTCTGCATTCCTTCTTTGAAATATACAAGAGCCCCACTAGGGGCTTCAAAGAAGGAATGCTGTGTACAGCCCGGGGCCAGCAGGAAGTCCCATTGACTCCAGGCTGAACACAGCATGCCTGCTTTGAAATGCACAAGAGTCCCCAGCGGTAACTCTCCCTCCCTTCCCCCCCCCCCCCCCCCCCCCCCCCCGCCCCCCCCACCCAGTCTTTAATATCCTTAATACAAACATTCTAGGAGGGACAGGCCTTCTGCTGCACTCAAGATTGAAAACAAGTGTGCAGATGCTTCCCCCTCCTCTGTTTTTTCTTAAGAAGAAAATGGCAGGAGTTGCTGACTTTCAAATAAAGTCATTCACTTTTCATAATTAAAATGTAGAAAATATATCCTTAGTCATGCAACTTTTTCTGCAAGTAATTGGTAACGCTTCTGTGATCAATTTGTCAGGTCAGACAATTGCCTAATCTTGTCTCATACCCTAACTCCCATAAAGTGCCTACTTTCACTTTCTGGCCAAGTGAACTGCTCTTCACCCTACGGTAACACTTTGCCACTGACCCATGCTCTTGGAAAACAGTGTTGGGCCAGAATCATGAGATGGGTAGGCTTTGTTTTATTTAAAACATCAAGATTTCCCTCTTGTTGCAGCTTGCTTATTGTGGACTATACAGATAGTTCTGGAGCATTTCCCATGCAGAATAGACCAGTTACAGGCAGACTAGCATAATCATGCAGAAGTTTTATTGTTTTGGTTTAAAGGAAAGTTGCATGATCCTCCCTGTACTTAAAACATGCACTGCAAATATGTTGCTGTGAATAATGCTGCAAACAATTTCTGGAAATCCCCTCCCCATCTTTTTGCTTTTGTGATATTTCTTAGTACAGTTAGTCCAAAGAATGGCTCACGCATACAGGGCTACAAGTACAAAAAGCAGTTTGCCAACCAAGTTGTGCCATTTGGCTTTCACAACATTGAGCTCACTTAAGAGAACAAATGCTAGCCTTGCAGAGTAAACTAAACACCTGTACCCCAAGCACTATCCACAATGAAGGGGGAGGAGAGGAAATAGAAAAAGAGGCTTAAGCCTCCCCCCCCCCACCCCCAAAAAAAATGGAGAATGCAGGGACAGATTGTGATAACCTGCTAATCCAAAAGCTCATCTTTGGAGAAATTCTTAGGAAAAGATGTTGGGTATCATGTAAGGGCAACAAGAAAGCTTTATAAAGATAATATTTCTGAACTGGATCACCAGGACTGAGTGTTTTTGTTTTTTTTTAATTTCAGACAAAGTTGAGGATAAATACACACTAAGAACTGATCCTGGGCCACTGACAATCTGGAGGAGTATTGCTGATCCAAAAAACATAACCTGCCCTTGACAGTGAGAAATATTTCAACTGAGCTAAGACAATAAAAGCAACCTGTTGAAGTTAATCTCATTTACATGACACCTTCAGAAGTCTGCTTCTGTTAAGTTATACTGTATCATTTTACACTGTCACTTCGATTGGTGATGCTGCTTGGAAACTTTAAAATTTGAATATGAATAGATGGATTACCTTGTACACTGGAGTGGGAAATGGAGACAATTGAATTCCCACTGTATGTTCCTGTTAGGGGTGCACTTTGGAAAACATAGTATATCCTTAGTTACATTTAATGCAAGATTAGACCATCTATTGTGGTAAGAGACCACTTCCCCTCATTTCTCCTGGTAAGTGGGAAGCATACCTATCATCCAAAGCCTCTAGCAGTCCTTCAGCCCAGTGGCTATTATACCCACTCCACTTGAAAGAAGAGGTTCCAGTCCCCCCTCTTCCTGAAAGCGGGAATTTAATTAAACTGGAGCCTGCCAGTTCTCATTTAACTGCTCTAACCACTACCTTTGGGATAGTCTTCCTCAAGCAGGAGTGTTGACACTGTTGTACTATGGATAAACAAGCATTAGAGTAGGGGGGGGGGAGGGGGCAAGATCTCCCATGTCCAAGGTGAGTAACCTAATCCCAAGACTAAAAGTTGGGAGACGAACTACTTTTCTCATCACAGGCTTTTTACTAAAATGGCATAAGACAACTAATTCCAAAGAGGGTTACCATCTCTGAATTGCAAAAATGGGCTCCTTCGTGCAGTCTCGACCTAGGCTTCTACTAATGATGGCTAGGCGGTTCTCCATGTAGCATGCTCGTGTTTGTGAGCTGCTGTCTAAGGTGTGCCTGTCTCTGCATCTCAGTGATTTTCCCAAGTGCCTCACTCCTTTTGTGCATTCAGGGCACTGTTCCTTCAAAGTGCTTTAAGGCTGTAAAATGGCACTTATTGCTCATTGTATAATCAATTGCCGCCTCCTCATGTAATCAGCAACTGTTGTAACGGTCTTCAAAATGGGAGGGTGTTGTTTTTAAGTATCAAAATGCCTTCTCCTTCCCCAATATTCACTTTTACAGGATGGTCTAATTCTATCTGCAGGGCTAAAGTTAGGCACATCATTCCTCTGTACTGCAAAAATAATTAAACTGCTATAAACTTCACTGCCATACAAGGAGGAAAGACTGCAAGTGAGATGAGGAAACAAGAGGCCCTTTTACTTTTGGGTATCTGGTTTTGATGTTTCAGTCTCTCATTCTGTATTTTTTTTCCAAGTCTTGTCGTGCTATGATTTCTTCCCTCCTATATACTCACTAGGGATTCTATGTAGTCTAAACAGCTTAGCAAGAATGCTTCATGACTTCAATTGTACCATAAATTCCTTCCCATACCATAATGTTCAACATATAACCCATCCCTTATCTCTCAGTACTATTGTAATAGATAAAGAAATTTACATTTTAATATTTAACTTAATTTTGTTTTGTTCCCACTAACTTTCCTCGGAGACAAATTATTCTCCTTTTCCAGATAAGTCACATTTAATCTTGTCATTTAACATTTGTGATCAACTTTGAATATATTTACCATATCGGGCTGAATGTTTAAGTATTTACAAGTAGAAGGAATACATTCTTTCACAAAATTTAAACAGGTAGACTATGAAGGCTTTTTTTTGTTCTATTTCACAGCTGTAAATTTCCTATATTCACCTTGGCAGACTGATTATATTAATTAATTACAGCAAGGTCAGTATCTAAATTTGACCGGTTTGTCATTTGAAAATAAATTTTTCCCACCTGACAGAGGAGTACACAAACTTCACAGTAAAATGTGTATGTGTGTGTACCTACCTATAAAACAGAATAAAAGCATGCTTTAAAAGGCCACTTTTTTAAATTAGAAGCTTTAAGACTGGTATTAGATCAAATAAATGTTACATACCACACTGTCAAAATAAACAAACAGTCTCCTTCACTTGTTCACATCTTCAAGATTATCCCTGGACATCCTTCCAGGATGCAGTCCAATGCCATTAAATCCATTGCCTTCAATAGGTGTCAGAAGGTGAATTCTGATTATTCTTTCCCTGTCTGAATCAGAATACATTAAATCTCTACTGTACATTTTGATTTATAGTTTTTTTTAAAAAATTTATAGTACCTTTGCCTGGTTTTGTGAAGTCAAAAATAATTCTTACTACTACTAAGAGGAAATGTAAAGTGCCACCGAGAACTTTAAACTTATCAATAAATATGCTTCCTTCTAAGTAGCAAGAGATTTACTGTAATATGCACTCAAAGTAGAAGTGCAGAAAAATGTTCTAAAATGCTTAATAAAAAATCAGAATAGTTCAATAATTGTAAATGAGCTTTATACAATATCAAACTTAGATTTTTTTTGCACATTTTCAATAAACTTGTGTTGTAAGAGGTCCTTGCATGTTCCCATTAAATCATAAATATTTAATAAAGACACAGTTTGGACAGTGGTTATAGTATTATAAAAATCCTCAGAATCCCTCTTTAATCACTCACTACAACAGCAGTCATAAAGAATACAAGTAGTTTAGGAGTACAAATAATGAGAATGTAAAACCATTTGTGCAAAACTGCATTATATTTACTGTTGAAGATTTCTGGGAAAAAACACCGCCCGAAGCATGGATACGACAATCAAGACAGTCATGAAAATAATGATACCTTCCATTTTCAAACATGAAGGATTATGTTATGAAGTAAATAGTAGATGATAAAGAAAAGTCTGGTGGCACCATATGTAACAGTAATGGTAAGTGTCCTGGAGATATTGCCAGTTGGATAGAGAGCTGATAAAGGTACAGGTCAAAGTCTTTCAGGAGTAGCAATCCGTTTGATACGCCACGTCTAACACTTCCATAGATCTATCCTTCCAACTTTTTTTTTTTTTTTTTTTTTTTTGCAATTTGTAGACTACTACTAATACACGTAAGACTAAGCAGTTGTTGGGGGGGTTTTTTTGTTTTTGTTTTTTTAGAAGTGTGCTTTCTTCCACGCATCTGAAATCTTTAAAACATCTGGATCATTGACTCTCTGGATTTCCCTACTCCAATCCACTGAACTGCAAAAAAAGAAACAACAACAAAATAATGTGCACTGTTTTACCATATATGAATTAAATCAAAGCATGACATTCTGATAAAGGAAAAAAGTTCTATGACCAATATAGCAGAATAAGCTGCACTAATAGTACTGACTGTTATTAGATAATGACACTTTGCATTTTTGTAGCACCACTAGAGTCACAGATCTTTAAACACTATGAAGTGCCTGAACTTGTGCTACTGAGTCAAAGGGAGCATGGCCTTAAATTTTCAAAATCCTTTCAAAACTATGTTTTACAGATGAGGAAACTAAGCATACAGAATGCAAGCAATTTGCTGAAAGATAACATTCTGTATTCTTAGTTCTATTATAACTCACATCTCCCAACTTCCAGTTCTATCTTTTAATCGTAAAACTAATTACAGGTTGAACCTCTAATCCAGAACACACTCGTCCAGAAACATCCAGAATGATTTTACTTAGCGGGATGTACACTTTTCATGAGTGTAGCCAAGTTTCCTGCGGTCCCATGGTTTGTTTACAGCCAGCAGTCCTGGCTCTGTGTTCTGAGCTGTTATTTAGCTCTAATTTACCCCTAAATGTCCTCTAACAGCACAGTAATGCTGCTAGACAATATTAACTTCTCATGGTCCAGAAAATTCTCTCATTCGGAATTAGTCAGGTCCCAAGGGTTCTGGACTAGAAAGGGTCGACCTGTAGTTTAGGACAATATTCGGCCACTCCTAGGTTGATTTAGTGTTTTGCTTCTTAGTAAATCTCCAATGAAGTCAGACTACTCACACACTAAAACAGTAGTAACCGAACAAAAGGATGGCAGAAACGAGTCCTTACTTGACTAATCAAATATGCCATTCCGCTTTTTTTCCCCAAACTCCTACAAATAGGACTTTTTGCACAAGAGCTGTTTTTTTTTTAAAAAAACAAAGCAAACATGCAAACAGGACAGTGTGTATGCCAGTATTTAAAATCGGTTGGCAAATTATGATAACTCACATTGTAAAGTTAGACTAAAATATGCTGCAAACATTTTAGGAGGCTGATCTCTTAGATATTGCTGCTAAAATGAAGCTCAAAAGCATTAAAATGTCAGAGTACGAAAGACACTTTAAAACTCAGCATTCTAGCAAACTGGGTGCTTTAAATCATATTCTGACTCAAAAGGTCAAAGGAATTAAATTTAAGTTATTTCTATTTCAGATAGATAGGTTTCCTAAAGCATGAAAGTTTGCTTTACTTACCAGGAACACCAAGCTCCATTTCTATGAAGCGAACATAGTTCTGTGCATTTATAGGCAGTTCTTCAAATGTTCTTGCATTTGATATGTCTGTGTTCCAGCCTGGAAGTGTCTCATACCGAACCTCTACTTTATTTAAGACTTCCTGGTTTGCTGCAGAAACAGAGGAAGTATTTAAACAGTGAATATTAAATTATCCAGAAGATCTGTATATTTTTACAGAACCAGTCACACAACTAAAAGTCATTTTAACAAGCATCTTGTTCTATCAATGGTGACCTCATAAAAGGAGATTGTCTAAGCTTGTGAAATAATGAATTCTCTTAGTCAGGTGTAGATTTCAATGGCGCTCTCTCATATGGAGTCAGATATTTGCCTATTATTTTAAAGCATGGGTGTCTTGTTCAAGAATTCTCAAGAGGTTATTAATGGCAGAAAGTTCTGTTATGTTGGAAGCTAACCTGTTCTAACAAAATGCAGATTTAATATGACCACCATTCTGTATATACCAGTATTTCACAATGGTACAGGTATTAAACAGATTTGTATATTGTTGCAAAATATTGGGATTAATCTTCATTGATGTGAGGGACTGCCAGAGGAACTCCCCTGAGTTATAGTGAGACACATTGCAACTGAGATCAGATGAGGCACCCGAACTAGTAGCCCTCTGGTTTAAAGGGAGAAGACTGTAGGCCAGACATTCTCAATGAAGAGCCCTCATCTCAGAGACTCACTTCCCCTATGAAGTTCAAAGAGTCAAAGTCCGTTAACATTTAGAACCTACTGCAATACTCCTATTTTCCATGTCTGAACCCAGCTTCCCAGGTGAATAAAGGTGTAGTGAATTTAATGCATGTTTGGGACTCAACATTTCAGAATAAAAGAATGTTAAGTGATAGGGAAGTTCTGGATGTCAAAATAGGCCAACTTAAAAGAATATCATGCTTTCTGGAGAAAAAGTACATTTTAAAGAACTGATCATGTATTCCCAGGTTTTCAGAAGAGTTCAATAAGGTCAACGTGGAGCACTTTCGAAAGCCCTTCAGTGTCGATCCAGCCAGATCTTACCCAGGCAGGCCAACTGCCTTTGACCTATCCAAATATCCAGCAAAGCTAACTGAAGATAGCGTGTGTCAACTACATCAATAAGAATGTGCTATAGGAACAGCATTTCAAAAACCCCACTAACTAAATGCCTTCAATAGCTCAATTTCTAAATAGGTACATTTTACTAGTTTACCACCATAATTATTGCTTTGTTCTCTAAAAAAGTAAATTTCTTACCGATAATTTCCCTTCTACGAGCAATGTCTCCCACATTTCTTGATTTCTGGGCTGCTTTCCTCTCACTGCAGCTCATGGGGGCAGATCAGAGTTTTGGACCTGCATATTCTAGCCATGCCCTCTTAGATCCTGCTTCCCTCCAGATAAGCTATTCCCAAACTGTAAAGCTTTCATACCATTGTTAAACATTCTTGAGAAAACAAAGTAACTATGTACATTTGACCAATAAAGATGGCCTTATGGTAACAATTCTGCTTAATACCTGACTCTTGACTTATAAGCCATTCATGGCGAATAGAAATGCGAGAGACTGCTAGCTAGAAAAGAAATGATCAGTAAGAAATTGTGTGTTCCTCATCTCCGCATCTCCCATAATTCCTGACTTCTGGGAAGTAACAGATGTAGGGAGGGTTACAGAACATATCAGAACAGCGAAAAATTGTATCTTTACCCATCCATAAATATTTGCTAAAAAAACAGAATCATATCTGGGCAAGTTCTTGCAGCTCTTTCCTGCTTAAAGAATGCTTCTGCAGAGGATAGGATGTGCAGTGCATGATAAAGGTGGCAGCATTTGATCTGGTGGCCCACCATACAAATTTCCATTGTGGATTTGTTACCTATTTCTACCCACTAGCTAATCAAGGGTCTCAGATTGTGCTCTGCTTCCTTCTAGACCCTCAATCTGATGCCTTGTATGTTTCCATAATGCATCGCCTAACCCACCAAGCAACAAAGAACTTGGAAGCAATGAGTCCATGGAATTTTGACAAAGGATACCAACAGGACACCTGATCTCCTTGTGGATGCCATACATTTGAGGTAAATTTTCAGAGCCCTTTGGGCAGGTAAGGTGTGCCACATCTCCTTAATGAGATGCTATGGCCTTGTACAAAGTGACGGTAGAAGCACCTCTTTGGAAACATAGAAAGACCACTGCACCTTGAGGGAATAATGATTTGAGTTCTGTATGCCATCTTGTCCTCATGAAACATGCAGTACGATTCCTGCATAGAGTGCACTGACAGCTCCAACATTTGTCTGATGGACACAATGGCTATTAGAAATCAAGTAGTGATGGACAAATCGAATGTGGATACTGAGGTCATAGGTACCATGGAACCGTTTGTCAGGGCACTCAATACAAGTGGCCCATTTGGGAAAAAGATTTAACAGCTGGCTTGGCTAACCAGAAGTATGCTTCAAGCAATCTGGCTACTATGGGATTCTCTGTGGGTACGTCTACACTTGCTCCCTATCTCGAGATAGGGATGCAAATGTAGCCAACCGAAATTGCTAATGAAGTGGGGATTTAAATATCTTCAGGTAATAACTTGTGACTCTTTAGTATTAGAACTACAGACCCATCAGAAAGTGAAAAAATGTAGCGCTCTCATTCCTGGGATAGATGCATCCATCTGGACATACTGCTCCTTGCAATATTACTATGCATGGCAAAAATACTATTTTGAATTTAAATGTTTTAGTTCGAATTTCTCCCTCCCTCTGAGACTTGTACGGTGAGATTGATGTAATAAGTCAGGCTGAATTAAAGGTTACAAAATAACAGTATCAAGAGTTAAAAAAAAAATCCTATAAGTTTTTTGACAGATAAGAGCTCCAGGATGCAGTATAAATGTCATTTGGCACTCATTGAGATTACATGTATCGCTTTGGCATTTGTGCAGTCGCAAACTCATGAGGCATAGAAGTTTTTTATTTACATGCCTTTTAAAGCACTGAACACTTTGATCTCTCAACCAGTGTTCCCTCTAAGCTGCACTACTGCACAGCTTCACAGGTGATTAATCAGCCCCACCCAGTCAGCTCAGTGCACATAACCCTGAGCCTCTGACTGGGCAGGGCTGATTAATCACTTGTGAAGCTGTGCTGCTATGCAGCTTAAAGGGAACACTGCTCTCAACATAGTAATTATAAAACAGACTCACCAGGAATATAAGGTATGATTTCACCATCTAGTATGTAAGCAACGCCAACTTTGATTTCTGGAAATACATCCAAGATATCCAATTTGGTAACAGCCACTCTATTAAAAGAAAAAAAAAACAAGCCCTTTATTAATGGCATTTTATATGCTCTGAATTATTGGTCTAAAACTTAACTACATTTCTTTCCACTTATTGCATGAAAAGTTTAGCTCCAAAATAGCTATGAATCAAATTAGGAATAATTTTATATGTTTAGTAACTGAAGTCGGAATTTAAAATTTCTATTTTTCATATTTTTAAAACAAAATCCAAGACAATAAAGAAAGACAACAAGACAGCTGTTGGATTGACACAAAATCTATTGACATCAATAGTCTGGACCAAATCCTGAATTATGCCCAATTTCACACAAATATGAAAAGATCATAATTTAAGGGACAGCTCCCCCCCCCCCCCCCCCAAAGAGAATGAAACTGCTTTAATGAAACAATTCTAATTATGTAGGTTGCTCTGTTTAGACTTTTTGATTTCTAGCAGTCTCATTAACACCTCTAATAGAAAGCAACAGAACAATTACATAAATTGCTTTCAGCATTTCTTTTCATCTCATTCAAAAGAGCCAAGATGTGTAAAACAATAGATCTCATGATCACTTCCATATTTTGTTATTTTACATATGTGACTGACAAATTGGGAGTTAATGTAGTATGCTAATTAAAAACACCACAAAAAAACTGAGCTAAGTATGTGGTGTGGGCATTAACCAATTTTGCATAAATTTAGTTCAAATGAAATAAAACAGTCATGAGGTATATCTAATCAATGGCTTTTAATGTATTTGTTCAGCAAGCTGTTACATGAACAGAGTGGAAATTAAACATTAAAAGCACTCTTCAAAGATGTAACTGGATGAGCAGATAACATTTAAAAGGTTTCCCAGATTTGGTTACTTGTCCGAAAGCAGACAAGGGCAAAGAAAAGGAGCATGAAAATTTAAATAAAGATTTACAACTATAATCGTTTCTTTCTTAAGCTAGATAGTTTCATCTGAGCTTTATTCCACTGCTCTTTAAAAAAAAAAAAAAAACATACAACCAATCACACATTTCCAATAGTAATTTGCAGAGTTTTAAATTGAAATGTTTGTATTCATTTAAATCTACTCGTTAACATCTAATACCACTAGCTGTCATATATTAAGGCTCTCCAGTTCCGGAATGATGAAGAACCTTCAGGAACTTTTGTTTGTTTGAAAGAGGGAAGAGAGGGAGAGAAGTGCTAAGTAATGAGAACCAAAGGGAAATAGTTCTTGGAATTGCATGAATAGTGAGTCACTATGTACTTTTATTAGAGAGAAAGGCAGGGAAAAAACTCAAGTATGTGAATCACCGAAATATAAACAGATAACACAAATTCCAAAAGAAAGGGGAATTAACCTCTTTACAAATATTCATGTACAGAAAAACTACAAAGCCATTTCTGCTGCTGGTCATGTGTTAAATTCAATGTCATAGGGAAGCAACTTCTAATAGTGGGGATAGGAAGAAAAGTGAAAGATGTGTTCAGAATATTACTCATCCCATCTGAGACTGGCAAGATATATAGTCAAGTATATTTTTTTAAAACTTGCAAATTAGTGTATAATAAGTGCTTATGCCAGAAGACACTGGAAATATCACTCTTAACAAGTAAGACTAATATTAATGTGCTTAATATTAATTTCTCATGGCGTACAAAAGCTGGAAACAAGTTTAGAAAATATGCATTTTTGAATATAGACAGAGTTTATTTTATACCTTTACACAATATTTTAGTGCAAATATTTAAAGTATTTTAGTACGTTTAAAATATACCTTAAAACAACACATTGGACTCAAAAATTGAAAGTGTCATATACGAGTTCTCTCTTTAAGAACCACATATGTGGAAAATGGAGGTGGAATACATATGGTTCACAATTCACTTTACACAAAAGAGGTGGAATCTTGAACTAATTACAGTATGACCTACCATCTAACACCCAAGGTATGTAACTTTTGGGGCTGATTAAACCTTTTAGCGCTCATTTGAATAGTACCATTTTCTACCAATGCTAATGACAATTTTATAAGAGTTACTTCCTAGGAACTATGTAATTTGCTATAATCTACATTATGTTACATATGAAGGCCAACTTGTCAGCACTTTATAGAATACTCACGCAGTAAATCCATTAATCATATGGGCATATCTGAGTAACACAAGATCCAGCCAGCCACATCTTCTTTTCCTACCAGTGGTCACACCAAACTCCTTACCTCGTGTCTGCAGCAATTCTCCAATTTCCTGATGGAAGATGTGTGTTTTAGCACATTTAACAGAATGCTGTAATAATCTTAAAGTCCCCCATGATGCACAAAAATATCCACAAAGATTTAAAAAAAAAAAAACAAACACACACACCAAATACCCTTAGTGGGCCAGTAGTTTTTTTTTAAAATGCAAGAATGCTAGTTAAGCAAGCCATTTTCTCAACACTACACTTTCATTCAGCTACAGTAAAACCTTTGGGTATGTCTACACTACCCCCCTAGTTCAAACTAGGGGGGTAATGTATGCATACCGAACTTGCTAATGAAGCCCGGGATTTGAATTTCCCGGGCTTCATTATCATAAGCATAGAAGCCTAATCCGAACTATCTAGTCTGTGCCGCGTGTAGCCGCGCTGCACGGGGTTCGCACTAGCCGGCTTTTAAAAATGGCGGCGCCGGCTTTATGCTAATGAAGCCCGGGAAATTCAAATCCCGGGCTTCATTAGCAAGTTCGGTATGCATACATTACCCCCCTAGTTTGAACTAGGGGGGTAGTGTAGACATACCCAATGTTATCTGGCCCTGTTAACCAGAAAACTTTGTTAACCAGCATTTACCCAAGCCACAATACTGTCACATCTTCAGGTACACAGGCCTGGCTTGGTTTACCATGATTGGCTTAATGAATGGCCTAATCTCTGAGCATGCTGGATAACACAGGTTTTACTGTATATAATGCCTAACCTATTACGTGACAATGTTGTCAATCTTAATTAAGTTGTAAATACTTGGCAATCAGGCTGCCAATGCTGCAAATACTACTGAGGATCAAAGAGTCAGGCTGTTTTTGGTGCAGAATCTTTAGTCAAGTTGCTTGCCTTTTTGCAACATGACCTTACTTGCCATTTTGCGGCTGGTGCATGTAACAGAATAAAATTCATCTTCCTCTGACAGCATTCATTTTATAAAATAAGCACACATGGATCACTGTATCCAGGCAACAGATTTGTTAACTGAGAGTTACTTTTCTGAGAATAGCAGTACTTTAGGGCAAGCAATGCCACTAAATCTCATGCAGAATCTGATGCTGGTGATAGTTTTGTATGGGCTGCAATATGCCCTTAACTTTAAGGAGTACACTTAAACCTCTGTTCTTTGTGTGTCCCTAATTCGGGAACACTCAAGGCACGGAGGAGGAAGCAGCTCTTCACTCTGCTGCTTCCGCTCCCCATTCAGCTGGGGAGAATGGCAGCGTGCAGAGCTGCTTCCCAAGGTTTTTCCCCAACTCTTCCATAGCAATAGGGGGGGCGATGGTTGGAAGCAGTGGGGAGAGCGGAGCCATGTATGACCCCATCCCTAGCCCTTCATGCCCAGACCCTCCAGAACTCTTCCTGGCCCAGCAAAATCTTTAATCTGTCATACCATTTCCCAGGATTGCCAGATTAAAGAAAGTCAAATGTATTATTGGTTAAATCTATCAAAGACAGTTATTTTCCCCACTTGTTGATCGTACAAGTAATGCTTACGTTATCTTGTTCCGTAGGAAAAGCACCGATTCCAACTCTAGTTGTATATACTTTTACAACTCCATATACTTCCCCAACATTATGAGGTGGCATACCCAATCCTGTGCAGACACCTCCAACTGTACAATTTGAAGAGGTCACAAAAGGGTACGTCCCTAATTTAAAAGAAAATCCAGAAGAAAAGAAAACTGAAACATGCAATTGCACTTGAAAAAGAAAAATGCACTGGACCTTAAATTATTTTTGAAATTTATCCATATATAGGATAATTTCATACCTTTTGGAAAGAGCTCATTGGTGGATTCTGTAAAGCTATGAAGAACACCAAAATAAATAAATACAATTTGCAGTTAAGCGCTTTTTTCATATTTAATGAATTCCTAATTTTCTTCTGTGCAATGTATCCCACTGAAACCAACAGGAGATTTATTACTTACATCAACTGGCACAAGATTGAAACCAGATAGTAATGCAACTTACAAGGGGCATTCAAGCCAAAAATTGTCATGAGTCACCAGAAAGTAAATTTATCTGATTCTCTACTACATAGTGCATTCACTCATAGCAAAACTATGAGTATTTTGAAAGGAGATTGAAGGTATGTCTGTATTGCACACCGCAGGCATCAGCATACATGTAGCTACAAACTATAGTGTAAAACAAGCGGTATCCACAAATGGTGATGAAAGGCTCTGATGGAGGGCAGTTGGTGGGGAAAAGCTCTAGCACAGGGGTCTGAAACCTTTGGCTCTCAAGCCAAATATGGCTCTTTTGTCATTCCTAAAATGCATGCAACTTTTTAAATTCAAATGAAAACATTAATTCAAAATTTTAAAAACATGTAATTACTCAAGCAGCTTGAATGTGTGCATGAATCTGAATTTGACCAATTATGATGTAAACTTCAAAGAAATGTGTGAAAAGATGCAGCAGCAGAAGTCCCATTAAATAAAGTCAAGAGTACAATATTTCATTTATGCTATTATTAATCATGTCAATTATCAATAATATTAAGTTGTATATTTTCAGTCTTCCCAAATGGGCATTCTTATACAACTCTTTGTTGACATTTTGTTCTGACATTTTGTTCTGAATTTTGATGTAGTTTGGCTCTTTGGTTTGAAAAGGTTGCCGACCCGTGCTCTAGCATTTGCCCATTTCTGAAAACTTTCCACGCCACAGGGACCTGCTGGAGCCTTTCCAGCCACTTTCCCGGAGGTGGAGAGGCAGAGAAAAGCTACACTGCTAGGGGGTGGTTTGAATGCATGCAGAGCTGTGTGTAGGATATGTATGCTAAAGGTTTAGGAGCGCCTTCAATCTTCTTGCCTACGGAATGTCTCACTGTCTGTTACTATTTATACCTGTGCTAAGGGGGTATGCAGTGTAGGTACTCTACATTTTGCTTAAGGAGATTCAGCATAGATGTACACACTGAGGGGGGGGAAAAAACCCTTTAACTTCCACAAAAATACAGGATTTACAAATCTCAAATGTAACAGTATAGTATGGAGAAAGACATCTCAAGGAGGTAGCTCATAAACCATGTATATAAGACACTATCTTTAGTTTTATAAGCTCATGATAACCTGTAATATTGCATATTTCAAAGTATTTTACTAATTTACAGTAAATATATCTTTTCATACTGTAAAACCTTACTATATATTTTAGAAATGTGTGTCTGTCCATGAGTCCATTTGTTCAAGAACTCCTCCCAAATGCTAAGAGCTAGGACCACCAAATTTGGTATACAGCTTCCTCTTATAATAACTTAAAGCAAGCTTAGGGTTTGGTTGTGACAGGACAATGGGATGTGCCTGGAACTAGATTATTTCTCATAAAATGGAAAGGGCTCTGGCAGGAATGACCACAGGGGGAAGTAAAGGGCCAGAAATGAGAACCGGGATACATATAATTCCATTGGGCCAGAAGGGGTGGAGAACGGGACAGCCATCTACTATATATTTTGGAGAGTTACCTATGTGTCTGTCCCCCAGCCAGGAGACAGACACTCCTCCCTTTGCTGTATGTGCTGGAGCTGCAGCAGCCATGGACAGGTGTTTCTCACCTGGCCCCAAGCTACTACGGTGAGAAAGTGCTGGGGTTGTCCTCTCTCCCTGATGCAGCCTGTACACTGAACCCCACATCTCCAGTCCCACCACTGAACAATTATTTAAATGGAAAACAAAAAAACTTACCTGACGTTAGAACCTTTAAGCCTTAGTAATTTAATCAGCTTTTTAACAAGACTGCAATATGCAAATTAGCTAGTAAATTGCAGTTGACTGGTTTAGTCAACTATAACACCATTCAACACATATTCCTTAAAAATCAAATCAAGAGTCAAATCCTGACCTAATTTGTGCATACTTTTATGACTTCCAAAAAGCGTTACAAGAATGTCCTAATTTTAATTAACGTCTCTTTTTTCCTGAGATCCAAATCTCAAGAAGTAGTTCAATTGGGTCACTTCAAAATATTGTCTGCTTATAAAGGAACACATGCAAAATTTAGCAAGGACTTTTTTGGAGGGAGAATCTTAACATGGAGTCAAAATCTGACTTAAAACAGCAAGTATAGTGTTTGCTCATAACAGAAAACACATTTTCCACAAAAGCACCTATGCATAGCACAGCCACTAGACATTTTCCCTTCATGGCACATACATGCTACCATATTTCTCAGAAAAAGTCACACCTACCAAAGTCAATGTCCAGTAATGCTGCATTTGCACCCTCTACTAAGATTTTCTTTGGTGGTCCATGCAGAGCCTCATGTATGAAATAAACACCATCTCTCACCATTGGTTTAATCCTTTCTATGTAGCCCTAAGTAAAACAAAAAGCTTTTTAAAGATTGGGTTTAATTAGTAAGTTATAAATCCAGAATGATTAGTATACGATATATTCTAGTTATAAGTTTCTCTATGATAAAGCCAGCTAGAGGCACTAGGAGTACTGCTTTGCCATATAAGTAATCAGGTTTGATTTTCAGTCTAAGTACTACTGACAAAACTACTCACTAATTCTTTTAGCATAAAGGAAGCATGGTATACATTCAGAAATAATCTCTTCTAGACAATCCAAAAAAAATAACAGGCTTCTCTGGGTGATGACCAGCCCTGTAGGTTAGTAATGAGGGCGGGGCAGAGAAAAACCTTAGAGTTTTTAGGGAATATGAGGATCTCTTTCCTAAAGCACAAAAAGCAAGAGGAAAAAATGAAAATCTAATCCAGAAGTTCTTAACACAACATTTTGAATATTTTACAAATATAATGTGAAAGACCGGATCCATACACAAATGTATAGTTTAAAAGCACAACATTTTATTAAATTCAGTATCTTATTTTGAAGTGCTAGACTTCCCACAAAAGCAAGTACTGTGAAAATCCATTAGTGACAATCTGGAGCCAATGGTCTAAATGTCTCTTTATATTTATGCTAATGGGAGGAAAAGGGATTGTCTTAATCTCATTTACCAGGGACTAGAGCTCTTTGTAACATGCAGACTTGTACTGAGCATATATCCTGTCCCCCAAGAGCAGGCCTGGGCAAAATACCCTCCACAGATCAAATTCAGCCTGCTAAACTGTTGGATCTGACCTGCTGATGCAGTGGGGAGCCTCAGGCAGACTCCATGCTTGCCCCCTTCATGCTGCTAAGAAATGCGGCGGTTGCGGGGCTCGGTTTGAACAGCTGAGCACCATGGGGAGGTGGTAGACGCTTCACACACAGCTCCCACCACTAGCATAATCCCACTGGCCAGAAACCAGGTTTGATTTTCAGTCCAAGTTGTCAATAGGCAGCTTGCAAAGCAACCCCCAGACTCACAGGCAAAAACCACATGGCCCCTGCAGCCAGTGAGGGGCAGGCAGAGAATCTGCTTGAGAAGGCTGATGACTGGGAGTCAAGCAGGTAAGTCTTTCAACTCCATCCTGCCTCCATATACCCTCCCAGATCTTGCATCCCAATCCCCTGCCCCAGGTCACAACTAGGGATGTAAGAGAGTAGTCGAGTTGATTACTTGCATTCCCCCCCCCCCCACAACCACACACTTGCTGCCTCTAGATCAGAGCAGGAGCCTGTGTCGCTTCTATCAGAGGCTGCAGCAGGGATGGGTGGGCAGGGGGGCTGTTCCAGCAGCAGCCCGGCTCAGTCCTGGCTCATGCTGGGACCAAACCCTGCTGTGGCTCTGCAATTTAAAAGCAGTAGGTGCTGGGCAGCTTGTCTGTTCAGCTCCTACTGCTTTTAAATTGCAGAGCCACAGCAGGATTTGATCCTGGTATGAGCTGGGACTGAGCCAGGCTGCCTTCTCCTGTTGAGTAATCAAGTAGTCGATTAAAAAAAATCCATTGACTATTCAATTACTAAAATAACCTAATTTTAACATCCTTAGTCACAACCCAAGCCCCTGCCCCCCAGTTCCCTGCCCAAGGCACAATCGCCTCCAGCCCTCAGTCACAGCCCACACCCTTCCTGCACCCTAGCCCATTTCCCCAAGTCACAACTGCCTCTTGCCCAAGGTCACAACCCAAACCTCTGCACCCTAGTCCTCTAACCCAGGTCACAACTCCCTCCCTCCGCAATACCACACCCTTTCCTGAACCCCAGTACTTTACTACAAGCTTCCTTCTGCATCCAACCTCCATTCCAGAACACGCACCTCCTCCATTAATATGGAAGAGTGTGCCCCTCAACAGCTTTTCAAATTCTTGGAGTGGCACCCCATCAAAAAATATTGTCCACCCCGCCCAAGAATATAGACGCTTTTCCATACTAACAATTTGGATGGGAGCACAAAGCTTTTACTCTTTCAACATTTTAGTATAACACTGCAAAAGGCACAATCAATACAAGTAATTTCATCCCTAAGTACTGTGATGTTTTTATGTCTCCAATCTACACTGAAAATGGCTCATTAGTTAACCTTTACATAGTTATATTCTCACCTCCCTGCTCCACAGCCTGTCCTTCTCAGATTTTGGACAGCACTTCATACTCTTAAAGAGCAAATTGAGTGCTGTACTTATTTTTAGAAATCTCACACTGTTAGCCTCCTTTGCGTTTCTTTTGTATGTAATTTTTACAATGCAAGTATTTGTAATAAAAAATAGTAATAAGTGAGCATCATACAGTATGCATTCTATGTTGTAAAAGAAATCAATATATTTCAAAATATAGTAAAACATCCAAAAATAGTATATAAATTGCAACTGGTATTCTATTAACAGTTAATCATGAGTTAATCACATGAGGTAATGGTGATTGACAGCCCTACTAGAAATATACTTAACTGATAAATAATCCACATACATCTGATAATGTATCAAAATAAAAACTAACAAAATTGACCAGCATTCTAGGGATTCACAAAAAGATTAAATAATTTGTTGTAACTCAGATAGTTTTACCTTGAGTTTTTTCAGTTCCCCTTCAAGGTCTATGTCTAAGGTTGGATAGATAGCTTTGTATTGGTTAGCTAATACTTTGAACCTGAAAGGCACACACAAAAAAAAATTCTTCAATATTTTTGCTCACCAACATTTAGATTATATCAAGAGGTCAGAAGTGTGTGGCAACTCAAGTTAAAATTCAGATAGATACATCCAAATATGACTTTTGGAATATAAGTTAGATATTTAATCTGGAACATGCCAAAAATATACCATTAACATAATTAATACACTGTCAGTCTAAAGCAGGAGCAGGCAAAATATGTTCCAAAGGCCTCAGGCCAGCTCTCTGCCTGCTGCAACCCCACACCACTCCAAGGGTATGTCTAAACTACACACTTCTTTCAAAAGAAGCTTTTTCGAAATACAAGATAGCCATCCGCTTTTTCAAAAGAGAGCACCTAGGCAATCTGGATGCTCTCTTTCAAAAAAGTCCAGTTTGCTTTCAAGAACACCTTTTTTCGAAAGAGCACTTTTGAAAAAAGACGTTCTTCCTCGTAAAATGAGGTTTACCGCTGTCAAAAAAAGCCCACTGCGTTCTTTCCATTTAATTTTGAAAGAATGCGGTGGCAGTCTAGATGCAAGTGAAATTTTTTTGGGAAAAAAAAAAGACCACTTTTTTCGAAAAAATCCTGTGGTCTAGATATAGCCTATATGTCTGGTCGCTGAAGTTATGTGCCTCTTCACCTCCAGGTATCGCGTGCATCTTGCAGGCACATGCTTTGGGGGGGCGGGGGGGGTGGAGACAACTTCACATACTGCCCTACCCCCAGCACAAACAATCTTCACACCTCCTATTGGCTGGAAACTGGCCAATGGGAGCTTCAAAGATTGTGCTGGGGGCAGGGCAGCATGCAGTGTCTTTCCCATCTCTCAGGCATGCAGAGCAGAGAGGCACATAGCCTCTTTGGAGCTATGAGTAGGGCTGCAGCAGGCAGTCAGGGAGCCTACCTGAAGTAGGTAAGCACTTCCTGGCTAGAGCCTGCATCTGGTACTCCAACCCTCTAGGGATGTCAAAGTGTACTGTTTAAACTGTTTCCATTACAATTATGCACTAGCTCCCTGGGAGCAAGACGGCATCTCTCCAAGGAGGTTTTGCTGTGGGCTCTGCACTATAAAGCTTTTATAAACTTTATACTGCAGTGCATGTAACTGTGTAATGGCTACAATTTTTGCCGTGACACCGTTACATTTTTTAATTATTTTTTACATCCCTAACTCCCTTCCCACATCCCAACTCCCTGCCCCAAGTCACTATCCAAAACCTCTGCATTCCCTCTCCCCCATTTCGTAACTCCTTCCCAGACCCTGCACCCCTTCCTGCACTCCTCCCCCGTGTCAGAATCCTCTCCTGCACCCATACTATCTCCCCAACCCTGTACCCCCTGCTGTACCCCAATCCATTGCCCTAGGTCATAACCAAAACCCTCTGCACCCCCTTTGTACCTCTCCCCCCTGGTCAGAATCCTCTCCTGCACCATACCCCTCCCGAACCCTTTCCCCACAATCTCCTGCCCCAAGTTACAACCTCCCTCCTTTACTCAAAGTCCCTCTCAGATCTCACACCCTCTCCTGCACTCCAATCCTCTACTCCGAGCTCTTTTCTGCACCCAACCTTTATCCCAGAGCCTGCACTTCCTCCACAGAAAAGTGCTGCCCTTGACCACTTACCAAAATCTTGGAATTGCATCAAAAAATTATTATTCACCCTTGGTCTAAAGTTATGCTTGAAAGGTTACATTTCAAATATAAAATTAGAATTACCTCTCTGAAAATTCATCAAAATCGGAAACAAGATCACACATTCTGAGCCCACTTCGAGCTGCTTTCGAAGAATACACTGGACCAATACCTTTTTTGGTAGTTCCCAAACTTTTAAAAAAAATAAAAAAAAGAGTCATACAAGTTACTCTCAAAATGAGAAGACCAAAAAACCCTTATTTTAAAAGCAAAGCAAAGTTTTGAGTACCAACATTTAACTTTGACCACTGACCATTTTTCCTTAATGCTTAATTTATAATTAAATTTGTATGATAAATATTTTTATATTTAATAAGGAACTTACATGAGTTTCATAAAATTAATTGCTTTTTGTGAACATAATGTTAACATTGAAAACATATGAAAGATGTAATTTTTTAAAAAAGCCAATCTTTTGCTTCCCCATTCCCCGCTTTTTTGCTGAAACTTCCTTTATATAAATCCTGACGTTAATTTCCTCTCTAATTGCATGTGCAATTGATTCTGATGACCCTTTGATAAAGTGAACTGAAATTCCTCAGACCCAGATCATTTCTGATAAATATGTTATTTATCCCAAAGACAAAAAATTTCTCCTGAGGAAAAAAGTTGGAGCACAGTCTATGCACTGAAGTGACAAAAGACACAGGATTAATTTAAAAATATGTTTGTGAAATCTTCAGTAAGCACTGGGATCTATATAGGAACAAAACAAACAAACAAACAAGAATTTTGCTCAGTATATGAAGAGAACATGCCTAGCCAGAAGATTCTGAGATAAGCTCTTGAAGGTATTGCATATTAGATTTGCACAACTGCTAGCATCTGAAAAATTAAGCAGGTAGTTTAAAACAAGATGATATCTAAACTGTTTCTCTTAAAATGATGTAAAACTGTCATTGGCCTTCTTTCATCTGGAAACAGAAAACACCAGTGACATCAGAAAACATAATTATGTGTTCACTGTTTCCAGAGAGCAAGTACAACCTAGAAAACCTAGACCTGATCAGAAGGCGAAATAAGCTAATGAAATGATAGTTTCATGGCATTTGTGGCAGTTATGTATCCAACAGCTGGTATGCTATGTTGAAAGACTGTAAATCAACTCTACTCTCAATGTCCAATCAGAAAACAAAAATAGGACTTCAGAGAATATAATTGTTTATTAAAAACATTGCTATCTACTGATCTTACTATGTATTGTAGAAATGTGTGTGTCTGTCTGTGAGTCCATTTGCTCAAGAATTCCTTTTAACAGTAAAAGATAGGACCACCAAATTTGGTATGCAACTTTCTTTTATAACTTAAAGCGAGGTAAGGGTTTGGTTGTGCCAGGACAACAGGATGTCCCAAGAATTTGACAGTTTCTCATAAAATGGAAAAGGAGGAATTTGGTCGGAGGGACAGTAATGCAGAATGACCACAGGGGGCAGCAAGGAGCTAGAGAGAGACTGGGACAGCTATAACTCCATGGGGCCAGCAGGACCTGGGTTGGAGAAAGGGAGCTGCAGCATCCATGGACTGACACCTCTCACCTGGCCTCAAGCTGCTGTGATGAGAGGGCTGGGGTTGTCCTGTTTCCACAGGGCAGCCTGCATAGTGAACCCCTCATCTCTAACCTCACACCAGAGCAATGATTTTAATGAACAATACCTATTTGAGTGAAGGATCCAAACACCACCAGGAAAATCTCCTAGTAAAAAAAACTATATTATTTCAAAGTATTATTTCATTGGTTATATAAGGGTACGTCTAGACTACATGCCTCTGTCACCAAAGGCATGTAGATTAGGCTACCAGACATAGGAAAATGAAGCGGCGATTTAAATAATCGCCACTTCATTTAAATTTACATGGCTGCCGCGCTGAGCCGACAAACAGCTGATCAGCTGTTTGTCGGCTCAGCGTGATAGTCTGGACACGCGGGTGGCGACAAAGGTATTTGTCGACCATCCAGGTAAACCTCATCCCAGGAAGCATACCTGGGTGGTCGACAAATACCTTTGATGTTGACACCCGCGCGTCCAGACTATCGCGCTAAGCCAACAAACAGCTAATCAGCTGTTTGTTGGCTCAGCATGGCAGCCATGTAAATTTAAATGAAGCGGCGATTATTTAAATCGTCGCTTCATTTTCCTATGTCTGGTAGCCTAATCTACATGCCTTTGGTGACAGAGGCATGTAGTCTAGACGTACCCTAAGACTTGGATTTTGGCAAAATCGGATGACTTCAGCATGGGTTCCTCTTCATATACATTTTTGTCCTAATTGTTAATTCTAATGTCATGTCATGTTTCACCAAAATGAATGGGTTGCTAAGGGGATCATCAGAAAGCTCTCCTAAAATAGTCTACCCATCCCACTGCCCACAGTTGCATCTGATCTTTTTCCTGCTCCACTGATGTCTGCAACTGACATATCTTAAAATAAGGCTATTGATGTAAATAGCACATTCTACAAAAGCACTCTCACACTTGAAGGAGGCTAGACATAAGCTCTTAATAACAAGTCTTAATAGCCCCAGAAATATATTTTGAAATTACCAAGTCCTTGTTACTGTCCAGAATGGATACAAATAGAGTAAAACCTGCCAACTTCTGGGAATTAGAAAAAATGTTTCACTATAGGATAGAAACTGGCACATGATCCTCTGAAACTTGGTGACCCAATTCTGGGGCTCAACCCATAGGTTGAGAATCCCTGATCTAGAAGCTGTAATAGTAACAACACAGACTTTTCAATGTTAATTTGAAGGCCCAGGCCAGTGGTCCCCAATCTTTTGGGGCTGCCGGGCACCTGGGGGTGGGGCCACCTATGCGCCACTTGCTCGGGGGTGGGGCCGGCCCAGATCATTCAGCAAGTGGACATCATTCGGGCCATGGTGCCCGCGGGTACCGTGTTGGGGACCACTGGCCCAGGCTATGAAATAGAATGTGTTTTTACTGATTCCAACAGCTTCCAGTAGGAGCTGTGCTTTAGCAGCAAATTTTCTAAGTAAGGAAAAGCAATTATGATCATTTTGAATGACTATGAGGAGAGCAAGACGAAGTTAGCCAAAGCCAGGCACGGTCAATTTTAGAGGTGATCAAAAATTTTCTGAGGGAAAAATTTTCTGTTTGAAAAGTGTTTATTTTATGCATAGTATTCCATGGAATTCAGCTACTTCCATCAGTACTCTGATGGAAACCAGCTGAACCCTAAATATATTGTATTTTTCACTCAATTAACATGGTGAGAATTTGACCAGCTTTGATTCACTATCAACTTTAACAGCTTGAAGCATTGTGTGACTGGTATGGGATTTCCAAAACATGTAGCACCAGAGTGATACAAAACAGAGTTGAAAGATCTTAATACTCAGATTTTCTTGAGTACAGATCAGCATGAAGAAAATAATTCATACATTGGCTAGGTAACATTGAAGTGTTTTATGTTTGCTATAGAGAAGGTCTCACAGCTAGCAGTGGTTCAACAGTGCTTCTATCAGAAATGTTATCTTGAAGTGATTTATTAAGTGAACCATAAGAAATTGTTCTTAGCTAAAAGTTAGCATACCGACATCTGGTCCTGAAAAAAAGATTATTTTCTTAGTTTGCTTTTTAATTCTTAAATGTATTGGAAGTGAGAACTAGCTAGCACTGGAAAAAGACAAGCATGGAATTTTTAACCTCTTCACAAATAGAAATAACTGAAATTCTGTTACCATCCAACAATGGCTTGCATGCAAAAAGATTGCCTCGATGCATTTCAATGAACACAAGTGTCCTACTTCATCAAGTCAGTCATGAATGATAACTCTTTGCTGCTGCTGAGGCTGCCAGTAAAAAGTAATTACTCATTTGTCCATAAAGACAAGCCCTTTGTACCTGAGCTGAAATACATTGACACCTTAGAAATCCACATTTATCTTCATTTGCAGATATACATGTTATGTTTTTTCATTCAGCCAGCTACTTCTATCCCAGAGCTAGCAAGTTACTGAAACTTACAAAAATGCTTTGTGATTAGGTTGTAAGTTTTAAAATTCATAAAAAAAAATCAGAGATAGCAGGTGACATATAATGCACAGCATGAACGTTCATGTTTCATGTAAAATTCTGAAAAAGCAAAATCAGTCGATGTCACTTCTGTTCTGCCAATCTTCATAATTTCTTTGCTCTTTCAGCCCAAGAGACAACAATAATCAAAGATATGCTTTTCCCCTAAAGAGCCTGCTGGGAACCATCAGCTGAATTGTCCCTTTCTGTACAAAACATATTGTGGCATGACCCATACTTTAAGAGTATGATTCTATTATTTGTCATTAGCAGGGCACTTATGGAAAGATAGGTGTAAAAATGAACCATGGAATAATTCATGCCATTTTATCATTATTTTATTTTCTTTAGAATTTGTCAGGCTTTGTACACTGGATTTTTTGGTTTGTTTTAAATGTCACAATATATTTTAAAACACAAAAGAAAATTACATACTTCTTTCCTGCTTGCTCTTGTCTTTGTTGTTCTTGAATGCCATCAGCAGCCTGATGAAAGTCAAATACTAAAGAAATACAAGAAAAACCCTTCAAATGCAAATATGCACAAGACTACCTGTGCAACAATTTGAAACTTACAAAAATATGTATATCATTAAGCCAGTGGTCCCCAACCTTTTGAGGTTGTCGGGCGCCAGGGGTCGTGGCCGTTCGCCCGCCAGGCGCCAGGGGGCGGGGACACTTGCGTGCCCGGGGGCGGCCCCTCCCATAGCTGCATGCCCGGGGGCAGGGCCCCCCCATAGCCACGCGCCCGGGGCCCCCTCCAAGCAGGGACCAGGGCCAGGCCAGCCCCGAGCACCTGACGGGTGCATGCAAATGCCCCCGTGGGCGCCATGGCACCCGCGGGCACCGTGTTGGGGACCACGGCATTAAGCAAATTTGTCGTCCCTTTTTTCTATAAGGAGTAGAAAATGTTGAACTCCAAATCAGAAGCATGCTGTAAAGATTGGAGTCATCTTTTTGTAAGTTGTGTTCTATTTTGAATTATCTTCAGTATTTAACAAAAACCCCTCAGAAGCATCTACCAGAAGTTTGAAATTGTTAGTGTTCTAATTACAAATACTGTACCACAGAGCTGCTCATGCTTAAAAAAACAAAAACAAAAAACCAACTTCAGAAAGTAATTAGCATTCATTCCAATTTTGTGCTGGCCCAAAAGAGGAGGGAAAACACTATTCAACATAACAAACCTCAAGCAAAAGAGATTTAGTGACAAGTCATACAGCCAAAGAGCCAATGAGGCATTTTGGGAAGAGCTTAAACCCCACAAACTATCCATCAGGAAGACATTTATCAACAGAAAGAATGATTGGGAGGGAGGGTAAATTTTGGACTAGCATACCATCCCTGTAAAGTTGAAGAAGGTAGACAAGTTTTACATAGTTCAACTGCCAATGTTTTGGGAAAAATATATTACTCCTAAAACAGAGCTTACTCAAAACACTGTTCATGCTAAGTCTTTCATATTTGCTTTATATCTACAAGACAAACAAAGAAGGTGAGAGGAAACTCATGCCAAATATATTTAAGGTACAACACTGCAGTAGACAACCAGTCAACTGATGTTATAGTGTAAGTTTATTTTTCTTAAAAACAATACATTTCTGAAGATCCAATAATGACTGCATGGATTCTGAAATCTTCTATTCACTGCACACAAAGGAAGGATACCAAAAAACAAAAACAAAAAAACCCACCCTGATTCAATTTCAAAGAGTACTCTAGTCTTTCTGCAATAAAAATTGCTGTAAAATGACCAAACTCCTTAAATTACCCCAAACAACTAGAATAATTTTTTTAAAGAACATTATTCAGATTGGTTAAACTAATTATGCCACATTAAGGGTTTATAACATTTTAAATCACAACAAACAGAACATGGCTTGAAGGAAACAAGAACCAGAAGGCTGGACAGAGGTTGAAAAAGTACTTAGAGAAATCATCGAATACCTCTTGTCAACATCTGAAATATCCACTGTGCAAGTCCCTTCCCTGCAAGTTGGGAATAAGCTTTTACCTGAAGTCAACTAGAACTCATGGAAAAGGACATCTAGCTTTATGTTTTGTTTTTTTGAAACAGTAACTTAACAGGACCTTACATTTGATAGGGTAACAAGTCTTGTGGATAAGGGAGAAGTGGTGGATGTGGTATACTTAGATTTTAGTAAGGCATTTGACACAGTCTCACGTGACCTTCTTATCAATAAACTAGAGAAATGCAACCTAGATAGGGCTACTATAAAGTGGGTGCGTAACTGGCTGGATAACCATTCTCAGAGAGTAGCTATTAATGGTTCACAATCATGCTGGAAGGGCATAACAAGTGGGATTCCGCAGGTGTCTGTTTTGGGACCGATTCTGTTCAATATCTTCATCAATGATTTAGATGATGGCATAGAGAGTACGATTATTAAATTTGCAGTTGATACCAAGCTGCGAGGGGTTGTAAGTGCTTTGGAGGATAGGGTCATAATTCAAAATGATCTGGACAAACTAGAGAAATGGTCTGAGGTAACAGGATGAAGTTTAATAAGGACAAATGCAAAGTACTCCACTTAGGAAGGAAAAATCCCATTTCACACATACAGAATAGAAAGTGGTTATCTAGGAAGGAGTACTGCAGAAAGGAATCTAGGCGTCATAAAATGCAAACATGATTCTGGGATACATTAACAGGAGTGTTGTGAGCAAAAAAAATGAGAAGTCATTTTTCCGCTTTACTATGCGCGAATTAGACCTCAGTTCTGGGCACCACATTTCAAGTAAGATTGGAGAAATTGGAGACAATCCAGAGAAGAGCAACAAAAATGATTAAAGATCTAGAAAACATGACCTATGAGGGAAAACTGAAAGAACTGGGCTTGTTTAGTTTGGAAAAAACAGAAGACTGAGAGGGGACATGATAGTGGTTTTCAAGTATCTAAAAGGGTGTTACAAGGAAGAAGGAGAAAAATTGTTCTCCTTGGCCTCTAAGTATAGGACAAGAAGCAATGGGCTTTAATTGAAGCAAGGGAGGTTGAGGTTGGACATCAGGAAAAACTTCCTACCTGTCAGGGTGGTTAAACACTGGAATAAGTTGCCTAGGAAGGTTGTGGAATCTCCATCTCTGGAGATATTTAAGAGCAGGTTGGACAGACGCCTGTCAGGGATGATCTAGACAGTACTTGGTCCTGCCATGAGGGCAGGGGACTGGACTGGTCCCTCCTAGTTCTAATGTTCTATGATTCTATGTCCAGGACAGCCATGGAATAGGGATACGAACGGGAAACCAGTTAACCTTACCAGTTACTGGTATGTAACGAGTATGGTAAACCGGTGCCCGGGAACAGTCCTCTGCCCGTGGCCTGCCATGGGCAGAGGGGCTGCTCCAGCACTGCTGGGCCAACTGGGCTACCTCATGGGGCCAGCAGTCCTGTGGGCTGGGAATCACTCCAGCTGGGCTGGAACAGTCCCAGTCCTGGTATCCTGTTTAATCAGCTAACCAGTTAAACCTAATATTTAACCAGCTAACTGATTAAACAGGATTTTACATCCCTGCCATAAAATAGGATTAGTCTGAGCTCCAGTAACAGGCTAGCAGGGCAATTCAGAGACCACATACTAATGAGCATTTATATGAAAGCAAACCTCCAGGCTGTTTCCATTCCGAAAAGTTCAAAGCATCCACACTCAGTAGACCAATTATTGATAATGGTAGTCAACCACTGGTCCTTCTGAACTAGCATCTTGTCTATACAGAGGAAGTTAACTGGCATAGCTATTCCAGAATAATTCCCTGGGTAGGTGTTATTTTGGAATAAAATATTAATTCCAAAATGATTACTCTGCTTTGTGAGCAGAATAATTAGCAATAAAAATCACTTTTCATCCAGAGTTGCTGTAGTAGAATAACTTATTCTGCTCTAGCAATGACAGGCAAGTTCCCTGTGTACACAGTGCCTAGGTCTCAATCACATCTCCTTTTTTACATTAACAAACTTTTCAGTTTTTCTCCAGAGAAACCCATTGTCAGGGCTCGCCAAACTGCGGCAAGCCCCGCTCACCAGCTGCGCTGTCCGGCAATCTGTGTATGCGCAGATCGCCCAAACCCAGCTCTTCCGGGTTACAATCTACTCGCCACGAGCGAGTAGATTGTATTTGTCAAGCCCTGCCCATTGTTGTTGAATAGCAACACTTTTGGTCAAATTCCCAGTGTAGACAGACTTATGGAGGTATCTGCATACATTCATTAAACACTACTGTATAGATTTAGCCTCTAGACAGGTGAAGATCATCCATATGCCACAGAAAGAGCAAATGGTCAGAGAAGTCAGTAATTAAAAGGCCTCCGGCATAAAAAGCATTTTTGGGTGGTTGGGAAGGCCACTCACTTTAAAATCAGATGGAATATCCCTCTAATAAAATGAAATTTTACCTAAGGTCTCCATCTGAAGAATCTCTAGAATATAACCTGAAGACACTGTTTATTTGGTATTCTCCAAAACCCTATGTGATCCCTTAGAGAAGCAAAATATAAGGCAAGGATTCCTATGCAAAGGAGAGCACAATTTTTAATATTTAAATGGGAAATGAAGCCTTTAAACATGCAAGGAATTTTTGAACTTCTCTCTCAGGAAACATGAAATGCATTTGGAATTAGCTTAATGAGTCAGAGTAAAATTTTTGCGTTTAGAGTGGCTCCATATTTTTAAAAATAAACAAGAAGATAAATATTTAAGAAGCTATAGTGCCTAAAATAATCAAGCCCTGATCCATGACTGGAACTTTTGGCCACTACAATAATAATGATAAAATAAAACTGTTGGCTATTCAGTGCCTCTGAAAAATCTGAGGAAATTTGTATTGAAATAAATAAATAAATATAGATACAATACAACATCTTACCTATATGAGCTCTGTCGGAAATTATTAATCTTTTTTCCCAGCCTTCTAGTCCTTAAAAACAAGTGAAAAGGTTTGAATTATGTTTTGTATATAATTTTTCTTTTCGCAATGGAATAAAAAAAAGACTTCTAAAGACTTGAAAATAGTCAGAGATTAAATGGAAAATAAAATTGAAAATGGAAGCCATTTAAAAGATACACCAACCTGAGTCACCATCTTATTTCAGAAAAAGCAAACCATTTACAACTGTTACGTTCTAACTTGAACCTACAAAGCCAGGAAATGCAGACTGCTTATCAGAAGTTGAGACTTTTAGGCATTCTACACTCGGAAAATTTTTCATGTTTTTCCACTGTTGCTAAAAACACGCTCTGCTCAGCTGTTCTACCTGATTTTTTTCCCCTCTTTAGGGTTTCTTTTAAGACTATTTTCTTTAAAAAGGCTGCAGATGTTGGATAAATACATTTTCCATGAGGTTACTATCTGGCATTCTTATCACTGGTTTTAAGTCCATTATTTGGCACTTAATTAAAAAAATGTATTTTGAGCTACTAAATTATAAATGAATACATGGCATCTTTTTGCATTCTAGAATAGGTTTCAAACTGTACCATATGTGTTTATACCATAATAGTTACAGAAATACTGATTATTCTAAGTGACTGCACACAAACAGCATCTTATTTTCAATATATTAAATCTATGGTTTACAACGGATAACGATAACTATGGGTAATTCACACTTCAGAAAGCATGCGTATAGGAGGCTCTAAAGGAGACTCCTGATGAAATCGGCAGGGATTGACAGAGCTCTGGAAGTCTCTGCGGAATTGCTCCTAGAAATGAGCAGAGCAAGGGACTCTGAGGGTACGTCTAAACTACATGGCTCCGTCAACGGAGCAATGTAGATTTGTAGTTTTGGCAAAGGCAAATGAAGCAGTGATTTAAATGATCGCGGCTTCATTTAAATTTACATGGCTGCTGCGCTGAACCGACAAACAGCTGATCAGCTGTTTGTCCGCTCAGCACGCTAGTCTGGACGCTCCCCTGCCGACATCAAAGCCCTTTGTCGGCAGCCCTGGTAAACCTCATCCCACGAGGA